CGCCCCAGGGCAGCTGTGGCTACAATGTAGCTTGCCATCGCCTGTGAGTGAATGGGTGAATGACAGAATGTAGTGTGAAGCGCTTTGGGGTCCTTAGGGACTAAAAAAGCACTATAGAAATGCAGGCCATTTACCATTTATAAAAATTTAATTAAATTTGCAGATTGTTTCGGTGAAGTTTAATAAACTCAGCCGTCTGCTTCTTGCTATCTAAAATATAACAGGACACCGGAGTATATTCTCGAGCATCTCACACTTCTGATAAGCAGTTGTCTGCTTGACGTTTATTCTGCTGTGTAAAAACTATAACTTTAATCTCAGCCAAACCAATTTACTCAGGAACAAATAAAATACTGAAAAAAGCCAAACACAGTGGGTTTGAAAACGATTTTCCGGGAGTTTGGTGTTCTCACCGGCTCTAGTGAGCCTTAAACCCCGGCTAGCTATCGAGCTGGGTAACAGACATATCCGAAAACGTCAGAGCGCTTTTGAAAATATGTGGTGTCTTGATAAACTGAGCAGATATTTGAAGTTTACACAGCTACATTCTTGCCTGGAAAATATGTTAAATGTTTATTTTGTGACCCAGAAAGAATAATAAGAGTAATATTAAAACTAACTAGCTGCTGCTATTGTTGGAAACTGAGCAGGGCCGTGCTATGAATTCTGGGATGGGTTGGGCCACAAAGTATACACCCGACCCATCCTTCAAATTTGGGGAAATGAAGGGCGTATTTGTCAGCTGCATTTGTCGGAGTCTTCGAATTTGGACAGTCTTCGTCGTGTCACTGTAGCGTAATCGGCCTGCAAATGCGGGCACAGGAGGATGCGGTTTCTGAATTTGGATACAGCTACTATACCGGACACTGCTTCTTCTTTGAGGTTTAACGGCAGCTGGCATCCTTGTACATGCAGTGCTGCCATCTTCCGTTTCAGTCCGTTATTACACTCTTAAATCCTACTACTTATTCCTGCGTCTTTTGGGATCTTACAAAGCTTCAAATGACGCGTCGACTATTAAATTAGTCGTTGACGTAATCGTGACTAGTCGACTAACCGTGGCAGCCCTAATTAGCAGACATTATGAGGGAGAGACATGACACTCAGTCCCGAATAGAAATGTAGGGAAGAACTGAGTAACTGTGAAGAGGTTGGTTATTGAGCCCCTGCCTCCAAACCAGCCACAAAATGAGAGAACCTATTGGCCAATTGGGATGTGCTAACATAAGCACACAGCTGACGTTTGACAGTTCCACATGTGTGGTGGCAAGGGTATGTCACTACATATTATTGTAGCAGACAAGTAGGAAGGTGCTTTCTTACTTTTTGATATAATATGAAGTGCTGTGTTGTTGTTATTTTTTTTTAAAATGTAATTGGTTTTTCTTCATTGGGATAACCAAAGGTGTTGATTGTGTTGGCTCTGTCGACCAAGCAATTAATGCCATAATGATGTGTAAATTGAAGTTATATTTATTTTTTTTAAATGACATTTGGCTGGTGATTCAGTAGATTTTTTATTTTTTTTTTTATTATTTTCAGGTGACTATTGAAATAAAAGGTTTTATGGAGAGGTTCATTTAGATGGGGTCTCAGCCTAAGTTAGCGCCCAGATGTGTAAGCGGTAGTCGGGGATGTAGTTCAGTTCGTTTCATTTTAAAAAAGGTTAGTTCTGCGCAATCCACCCACTATTACTCTAAACCTTTAGGTGTGTGGTACAGAAAGAACGGTTGATTTGCTCATGGTGTTTCCTCCCATCTGCAGCTCTTCAGACAAGAGACATGATGTCCCTTTTTGTCTTTCTTGTTTGTTCTCCTGTGTGCACCTCTAACTAGGGAAGGGGAGATGAGGGAGATGACGACAGAGACTGAGGAATTAATTTCCCACTTACAGCATGAAGAATAAGCTGGAAAGCAAAGAATCATATTCAGCCACATTTACATGTAGCTTTATGTTCCACATTCCTAAACACATAATGGGAACAGTAACCTGCATCATCTAATGTAATGTTTGTTTCTTGTATGGTCAAAATTGATGCTCTTTGTTACTGCCATTTTGCCCAAGTATGCCTCTTGTGTTACCTGTGTGATCAGAGAATGTCATGTCAAAGTCACACTTATTCAAATATGGTGTTCTGTTTTCAGGTGAATGTCCGCCAAGGACAGACTGTGCATGAGATTCTAGATAAAGCGCTCAAAGTGAGAGGCCTGAGCCAAGAGTGCTGTGCTGTATTTCGCCTTCTAGGAGGGTAAGATTGCACTGCTGTTTGTGCTGCGTCCTCTCACATCATATTGGGAAAATGACTTTGCATTCCTTTTTGCCCACATGAAACTCTGAGAGGCAACAGTGAACAGCTGTCACAAGACTACATGTTAGACAAACACATGTATATAACAGAGGCTGAAGATATAATGTGAAGTTGATTCAAAGGCTGAAACGGTAGAAAAGTCAATATGCATTGATACACAACTAATATACAATTAATTATTCATTGTGTATTTTTTTCCTTTTTTTTTGTTACCATAATGCATTTGAAGGGTTTCCTGTGTAACGATGGGTAACATTCCTATGCTTCATTAAATATTAAAACAGTCTTAACAAAGGGAAAGAATCACTGACCTTCTGTTTAAACTTTAGCTACGCTAGTAGAATCTCAGAATAAAAGTGGGAAAGGACCATGAAAGATCCACTTTAAAGAGAAAAATTAATGAAAGTAAAAATTTTACTCTAGCTGTCTGTAAACATTCAACAGCTTAAAGGTAGAATTTGTAATTTAGCAGTTTTGTTGCTTCAACATAGTTGTAAACTGTTTTCTCGCACCATAAACAGTTGTTGACATTTCTGAGGAACTCATTGATATACAAATTAAGTGTATTGGCCAATTAGGATAATGAAGACCTCTCCGTTGTTATTTTTTTGTTATCCTAGCCATTTTAAACCTTGAAAGGGTTTCAATATGGTGGTGATATGTACAAAGAGTGTTTAAATTGCTTCTAAATGTTCCTTTTTTTGCCCCTCCAGTCGAAAAAGACTGACAGACTGGGACACAGACATAACTCCTCTAGTTGGAGAGGAGCTTTTAGTTGAGGTTCTGGATGATATTCCCCTGACCATGCACAACTTTGTAAGTATCTCACATACCTGTGTATAAAATGTTCAAAGCTTATGTGAAATACCTTTTGTTCATACGTTTTTGGCCTGTGATACTCTAATTGAATTGCTGCTGTTTTTAGCCTTGATGGTCTTAAATGTTATTACTGCAAAGTAAATTTCATGAACTCCCTCTGTATAGGTACGCAAAACTTTCTTCAAGCTGGCTTACTGTGATTTTTGCCACAAGTTCCTTTTCAATGGCTTCAGATGTCAGACATGTGGCTACAAGTTTCACCAACACTGCAGTAGCAAGGTCCCCACCGTGTGTGTGGACATGGATACTATAAGAGAGCGGTGAGTTGGAGTAGTGTTTATCGTTGGCTGTACCAGATGCTTTGCTGGTAATATTTCACCAAGAGAAGGTGGCTAGTTGGAAAATAAGTCCTATTTTTAAGGAGGGCCACAATTCTATGGATTCAGACGATATCTTCCAGACTTTGCAACATGATGTCGACATACAGGCCATACAGTTTTTTTTGTTTGTTGGTTGTTTTGTTTTTTTTATAGCTGCCATGTTGCCCTGTAATTTTGATTACAGTGGCTGAGATGAACATTGTATTCTGGTTAATCATGTTTTATGTAGAGACATACATAGTAAGCCTTTTGTGATCTTTAAAGGCTTACTATGTAAGCCTTTAAAGATCACAAAAGGCTCTTTTAAATGCTCTTTCCTCATTTCCACCTCATCCTCTTCACATCAAGCCTCATCTCCTGAACTGCAGTCAAGGCTCTAGCACACAAAAACATGTTTCTTTATTCCCAATATTATTGCAATTACTTATTGTAATTAGACTCCAGACAGCTGACTGCCAACTTAAACGGCTGGTTATAAGAGTTGGCCAGCTAACGTTAGACTGGAGTGTCCTAAAAATCACACTTTCCTTCTGATAAACAGTTTGAGTGCATTCTCCTTGTGTATAGGAGTTTGTCCGATAAATGTTTAAGTTCAACAATGTTGGATCCACTTCAAAGAGAGTTTCTCTAATGCTAACAGCAGCGTTTACAAAAGAAAAGGTCAGGATATGTGTGTGAAGGTTCATCCTGGTCATTGTCGTCTAAGAAGCTGTGAATTGAAGAAGCTTCTCGGATCAGAGGTGAAACGTCTTCCAAGAAACTCAAAGTTCAGACGTTTTTCTTTCCGAGCTCCTTAGTTCAGGATATCCTCAACAACTCACTCAACTCATATCGGCCCCTTTCACTGTCTTAGCTAACTAACACATGTTTCTCCTTGAACAGCCAACGTAGCTAGGATTATGAACTTGAATTGGGAGGGTTTAAAAAAAAAAAAAAAAAAAAAAAACAACATTTAGTTGACTGCAATCTGCCATCTACTAAAATCTAGTGATTTTTACACACTTTTTTTTTTCCTTCTGCACTCTTAAAAGAGTCTTTTACTTTAGTCTTTATAAATAACTTTATTGGGACTGATTGATTAGAGCAGGGCGATATGACCAAAAATATTTATCACAATATACACTTGAAAATTTGCGATAACGATATAATTGACACTAGACAAAATACTTTACAACTCCACAACTTTGATGGGGTTTTTTTTTGCTCTAATAATTTATTTTCACTTAAACAAGCAGCTGTTTTTTATGTGCGTTAAAGTTAAAGGCATTTTTCAGTGGAAATTGGCTGACATATCCTCAGCATAACCATGTATAATATCCACAAAACTTAAAAAGAGGTTATACACACACAATACGGTAATATTATGTTGAAGCACAGTACGTATCACTCCGCGAGGCTCCTACCTACAATAGCAGTAATGCTCCAACAATCCATCAAGCGGTGCGGGTTCGTAGCTTAGCAAAGTCGCACTAAAACATGTGACAGATTTTCCAGCACCGTGTACCACATACAATCGTTTTGAAGTCAGTAAACACAACCAGAATTCATACATAACGCACACGGGATTATAAGGGGCACTGTTGGTTTTCAGAAAAATCAAAGGATTGATTTTAAGTGTGCCGTATTTTCCAAAAACACTGTAATAACGACGGCCCGCTAGCATGCTCCACCAAAAATAGTGCTTTGTTGTGTATCTGACAGACAAAAGCTAAACCAGTTCCACACCACTGAAGTTGCAGCATTTTTACAAACCAATTCTGGTTCATCCGTTTTATTCAACGATCCGCTTTCGCCCTTCTCATTCTCCGTCGCCGCCATGCTTTTTCGACCATGTGCGTATGGAAAATAAAGGCACTGCGCATTTTACCCATATTCTATCGCGGTATGTCATTTTCTTATCGTTGCCGAACATTATACCAGTGTTACCGTGAACGGTATGATATGGCCCAGCCCTAATGATGATGAAAAACAATTAAAACACCTGAAGTTCTTAAAATTCAGAACAGTTTCAGGGAAAAATGGAGATATATGGACCATCTTTTTGTGATGTGCCTAGATGATCAGATTCAGACTTGACATTAAAAAAAACGGTGCAAATACGCACTTACTACTTAATTATTTAGTACTAAATAACAGAAATTTTGCACATAATTGGAGCCTTAATAGTATGAAACTTCTGTGATAATGTCTAATTGTTTTCTTTCAATCCTATGTCCAGTTCTGATCCCAGTCCTTGCCCAGATGGATACCCACAGATAATACTGCCAGAAAATTCCCCCACGCAGAGCAACCCAGCCTTAACCCCAGAGCCTTCTGGGTAAGCTGGGCAGATGTCATTCTATCAAAATTGCAGCATTGCTTTATTTTGTGAAATGTATATTTTAATCAACCTGGCCTTGGCCTTCTTTCTTTTTGCTCAGAATGGGCCACCTGTCCCCATCCCCGTCCTCAACCTTTCACTTCCCCATGTCAGGCGGAGATGGTCAGTCTCTACAGAGGCATCGCTCCACATCTACTCCCAATGTTCATATGGTCAGCACATTGGACCCTGCTTCTGCCATGATTATAGAGGTCGGTGTTGGCTGCTTGTTTGCTTTTGCTTGAAGGATTGTCAGCTCCACTGTGTATTCATCAAAATAACTTTGTTGCATATCTCCTCTTAGGAAGCACTAAAGTTCAACAACACAATAGGTATGCTTTCCATTTTTTTCCCCTCTCTTCTGTTTTAGAATACATTTGTTATTCTATGCATGACACTTATGTTGTGCTGTCTCTTGTTGCTGCAGGTCCTGAACCCTCACCTAAGCCCTCCACCAGCCCGCCCTCTTCTTTTGGCTCTCCAGGGAAGAAGCCACCAAAGTCCCCTTCGGAACCCAGGGAGCGCAAGCCCTCGTCCTCTGATGACAAAAAGAAAGTGGTAGGGTGTCTTTAACATTGTTCACAGGCCACTGGTCACTTTACATATTCACAAGGGCAACCTTTGAATGCATTGAACTGCTATCTCTTTTTAACAAATTTAACAGTCAATCTGTTGTTTCAGCACCGAGGAGGCAACAGAGATTCAAGTTACTACTGGGAGGTCCACTCTCGAGAAGTCAACATCCAGAAGAGAATAGGTTCTGGCTCCTTTGGAACTGTCTTCAAGGGAAAGTGGCATGGAGATGTGGCAATCAAGATCCTCAAAGTCAAAGAGCCAACGCCTGAGCAGTTACAAGCCTTTAAAAATGAAATGCAGGTGTTGCGGTGAGCAGTGGTTTACATGACTTTAACTTGGTTTTATTTGCACAAATCTTTCCACAACTGCTGCTGGTGGTGGAGTTAATAATGGTAATGATATTAGTATTATTAACACTGCATAAACTGGTTTTATTAACACCAGTTCACATTGTTATAGCACTTTAATTTAACTCTTAACAATGTGGTGACTGTAACTTTTTGACTGCGGATGAGGTAATGGAATTTGTAAGTTTCACCATTTCTGTTCTCTACAGGAAGACCCGCCACGTCAACATCCTGCTGTTCATGGGCTTCATGACTAAGCCCAACTTTGCTATCATCACACAATGGTGTGAAGGCAGCAGCCTGTACCGCCATCTGCATGTCTTAGAGAGCAAGTTTGACACTGTGCGTCGCATTGATGTGGCCAGACAGACAGCACAGGGCATGGAGTAAGACTTGCTGCAATATTCCATTTCACCATCATCCCTTAGTCAGGCCAAGTAGCAGACATCAAGTCTTTTTGTAGTGCAAGAAGTTCATTCTGTATACAAATGTTTGGCACTCATGAATTTAATTTACTAGTTTTCAAATTGTTTTTTTTTTTTCTTTCAGTTATCTTCATGCAAAGAACATAATTCATCGAGATCTAAAATCAAACAGTATCCTTCTCTTGTGCATGGTGTACATAAGTGCAGTCATTGTGTGTTTGAGTTTAGATAGCTGTACCTTTTTAACCCGTAATCACACGTGCTAATTTGAGCCTCATGCTCTGCAGTTATTAAAGGTTTAACAACACACAAAAAGCATTTCCTTTTAATAGACAGTGATATACAGAGCAGATAACCATTAAAACTGTGATGTGTCAGTACTCTTAACACAAGAAGAGAAACAAACTCTATGCTGACTCTTACCTTGAAGACACCTCTCCCTTGTTTTCATGAAGAGGCCAATTTAAGATGATACGGTGCATCGCTGCTGTCAGGGACAAACATTTGAATTTGAAACTAAGGTATTAAATTTCAGTTTGTCGAGTCATTCCACACCGTCAGCTGGACATTTCTTTGTTTCCCATTGTTTACTTTGGGTAGTTTCCTCTGTCAGTCTCACTTCTTATAACTTCTTTCTTGTGAAATGTTTATGCAGTAACTGATACTATGAAAACGTCCAGCAGCTGTCTGTTGTATTTTTCTGAGATTTGCTGCCAGATATTTTTCTCCATGAGGGCTGGACTGTTAAAATTGGTGACTTTGGCTTGGCTACAGTGAAGGCTCGATGGACTGGCTCTCAGCAGGTAGAACAACCCAGCGGATCCATTCTCTGGATGGTAAGGATACTTAACACGTTTATTGTAGAGCTCAGAGTCTATATGACATTTTAAGGCCAGTAGGGGGAGCAGTTTTTGAAAAGATTTTGGGTTTTATAGAACACTAGAGCAAAAGGAGCCTCTGCTCCTTTGTATGAGTACTCAATTCTGTTTCAGATGAGTTTTTGGGCTAAATTGCTAGTTTCAAGTCCTATTAAATTTGAAAATTTCAGTTTGTAAGTTCAGCATACAGAATCTCTTGTTTTCCCAGTCGGATCCACCTGTCCTCGTGACATTGATTTTAAAAATCCAACATGGCAGCAGCTAGAACATTTAACTTGACTCTTGATTACATGGTAAATGGACTGATTCTTATATAGCGCTTTTCTACTCTCCGGAGTACTCAAAGCGCTGTATACAACATGCCTTATTCACCCGTTCACATAAGCACTTCTAAACACAAGCGCAAACTAATCTACATTCACACTCCGATGAACGCATCGGAGGGCAACTTGGGATTAGTATCTTGCCCAAGGATATTTGACATATAGATTGGGGAAGCCAAGGATCGAAGCACCAACCTTCCAATCAGTTGCTGATCTGCTCTACCACCTGAGCCACAGCCACCCGTACATGAACTGTGGCTGTCTTCTTTCACCTTCAGTCTGGCATTGCCCTTACTTAAATTGTTTTCTACGAAGAAGTTTTTTCCCTCCTAACTAGTTACTAAAGACCAATGGCTCTGTCTGAAATCTAATGTGTTTAAGTCCCCACTGATGCGTCGCTATGCCGACAGACATAACAAACTGCAGTGTCGGTCATTAGTGTTATTACTCCTCGGTTCTAGCTTGGCAACAGTGTTGATCCTGCCCGTGGCCACAATTGGCTGATTATCCAGCTTCCCACAGCACTCATTGGGCAGGTTCCTTTTTCTATTGGGACTGTTGTGTCATGTCACAGTGCCACATGTCAGTCAAGTTGGTGGAGTTGACTGAAATCATGCACCAAAGGGATGTCAGGTTCTGACTGTGCTGGGTGCCACACACCACAAAAAACAGTTTTGGTAAAGAAATTGTCGATCTACAGTAATACTTTTACATCATGTCCTTCTTCAGCTGCTGATACTTGCAAAATGAGCTGTTGATGCATACTATTACCGATGCATGTTAATGTTGTCCTTTATAACCTGTGTACATCTTGAGTCTTGACAGGTTAAATTATATTGTTGGTTTGAACACTTTTCTTGAAAAGTGATTACTGTTGATACCATAAATAACATCAAGTCACATCTGTATCATTAACTGTAAAGCAGAATAATAGAAATATGATGGTTTTTCATTGTATATTGGAACCCTGGAAGTTTTCCATGTACTTGTTTAAACACAGTAAAGGTCACGCGCACATTATTTGATGGACTCTATATCCATACATGCAGTTTTTATGTACAAAGGTTTGCAGTGTATTTGCTTCTATTATGGTTAAGTCACAACATCTTTACAAAAAGCTAAATTAGTGTAATCGGTAGTGTTAAAGTACCTCTTTGTCAGTTTTTAATTCATTTTTTCCTCTCTCCTCTCATTAGGCTCCTGAGGTGATCCGCATGCAGGACACAAACCCATACACGTTCCAGTCAGACGTATATGGCTACGGAGTAGTTCTGTTTGAGCTGATGTCAGGAACCCTGCCTTACTCCAATATCAACAACAGAGACCAGGTTCCATTACCCAGTTTATTCTAGTTTATGTTAACACATAACACTGAGTCAGTCTAAAATATCTGACTGACTCTTTCTGAAGATTTTGTTAATTACTATTAACATCAAAAATATAGCCATAGAGTAAGTCACAGTTCCAATAAACTAACAAATATTAGTAGAGTTCAGTAGATAAACTGTTAAATGTAACTCTGAATTAAATAATTCATCTGGAACACATGAAGCAAATTTTGTGTGACTTGACTTATGGCCCAGTTTCTTAAGCTGTCTTCAGACCTTTGATGTAATACTTTAAGTTTGTTCTGTAGCTCACCTTGTTCGGTCCTCTTTTTCTTTGTCAGATAATCTTCATGGTTGGACGTGGTTACCTGTCTCCAGACCTCAGTAAGCTGTATAGTACCTCACCCAAAGCAATGAAGAGGCTGATCGTCGACTGCCTGAAGTTTAAACGTGATGAAAGGCCCCTTTTTCCACAGGTCGGTCTTGTATGGTTTATCGTTTATCACTTTAATAAAAAATATCCTGCAATGTTAAAATGTCCTGTGACTTGACATTCTAAGGGCTTTCTTTAAATTTAACTTGAAACTTTTACTTTATCCAAAACTTTTGGCGACAACTAGGTTCTGTCAGAAAGATGATCATTTATTGTAGGGATCAAACCACCAACCTTCCGATTAGTAGGTGACCTACTGTACTGCCTGAGCCACAGCCACTCCTCTGTATCAATCTAAAGAGGATTTGTTTTTGGAAGAATTTAGGTGAACATAAAGACCTGGAGAAATTTTTGGTGTAAAGCAAGATACAGCAGGACTGTAGGCCACCAGTGAGGAATCTTGCACAGGTGGCCTTAATGAAAGTTCTGGAAAAGCAAATCGGAGTGTTCAATACAAATAATTTGCAAGACATGGACGTGTCATTGTAGTTGCCTGTAAATTCATACTATCCTTTAAATCAGGTGACTGCCAAACCATATGCAATGTAGTTGCATAATGTTGACAAAACTATAGTCTGTAATTTTCCTAATATTTCTGTCCTTCCTCAGATTCTGGTGTCCATTGAGCAGGTGCAAGATTTGCTGCCGAAAATCGAGCGGAGTCGCTCCGAGCCGTCGCTCCATCGAGCTGTCCATGCTGAGGACCTGAACCCCCTCCTGTTCCACACCACCAGGCTCATGCCCCTCTAAGCTCTTCACAGCACACAGCAAGGAGGCCGCCATCCTGTCAAGGACCACAGCATTCCAGTGCCTCAAAGAGGCCACAGCTGGCTGCTCTCCACCATTGTGGAGCTGCAGCTCTCAGCAGCAAAACTCAGTAACAGACTGTAGAAGTAACCTTAGTCTGACAGTGATTTTTTTTTTTTTTTCCTTCAACAAATGACACGCACATGCCCATCAGGTGAAAGAAAGACCTTCTGTTTGTAGACATATGTGTAAAATGTCTGCTCTTGCCAGCTGAGAAAGTCAATCGACATCTTGACTTGTATTTGGCTCTTAGACCTCCTTTGGAGTTTCAGTTGTTCTAAAGAAACTCACATGGTTGCACATACAGTGCAAAAGAGTCTAATTCAGATCTTTGAGGAGCGCTGTCATCATAGCCAAAAACTTAAATCAGCCATAGAGCTGGAGCTGCTGGTTCAAGTCACATGATCCACTTACATACTCCATGCTCAGCGGGCATGTGCCCCTTTCACTGTAACACAGCATAAATGGAATGGGGACCTGAGATGTAACGCCACTCATTTGAAAGCAACTCTTTTTGAATACGTGCCTGTCTTGATATGTTTTGTAAAAGGTTAGATGTTTGCCCCCAGTGTGGACTTTCAGCATTTACTGGTCTTGCAAATATCTATACAACGAGACCTGGCAACTTAGAACACTGAACTATGCAAAGAAGTTTAGGGGAAAAAATGTATACCAGTTGCTCATTTAACCTGTTATAGTCTTTTGCTGTACATGAAGCAAAGCAGTGAAAGGCCTGGAGGTAGATATTTTCTTTCACTAACATAAAACATAAATGTATCTTTTCAGGTAGATATTCTTCAAATAGGAACTTTGAAATTCACTAAATTCATCTGAGGATCAAGTTTCCATTGATGCTGTCTGTGGGGGGATGGAAAGTAAGTGAGAAGGGCCTGGCAGAACTGGCTGCATGTCCAAATTTAAACATTACAAATTACAGTTTGAGGGTTTGAAAATTATCCCATTCCTTAAATCCTGTGTTTAGTCTTAAGAATGTGCTGTTTCAAACAAATTTTTAGTAAAAGCAGTTGCCCACCCCTCTACCCTTTTCAAGTCCTGAAACATCACCTAACTTGTGTCACTTACCAGGCAACACTGTGATACTTTTAATGTTCCAAGTCCACTGAACACGGGGACTAAATGGTTAGGATCAATACTTCAGCAGTGGATGTTATTCATTTCTAAACCAAAATGTTTTCCAAAGTGAAATGTCAGTCAGGTCATCAGAGGACATTGTTGTTAGAAATGTACAGATGTAGTTTCAAGGGCTCAGCAGATGGCTCATTTCAATTCCAGGTGTAAACTGAGGTTTCCATGTTGAGGCACGCACCTTACAGCTCTCACACTGCAGGAACAGCAGAGTGCCAGCCTCTGCACCACAGGTCTGTCCATCTACAGGTCTCTCCACGATGGGCTTAAGTGGTTTGTTGTATTGCTGCTACATATTGTGAGTGTTTTGTACACCTTAAAGATTGAATTGCTTGGTACACAGCTTCAGCAGTGTTGGCTAGTTTTTCCACACTCCAGAGGTCCATTCTCCAATGCTGCTGTCCCTCGTGCATAGTTCACTCACACATGTCCGCACATTCTCAAAATATTTCTATAGCTGTGGGGCATGCCTTAAAACTGTGAGAACCTTGGTTGATTAGTCGTTCTAATTTAGGCTTGAAGAGGTGTGTACATTTTTCACAAAAGTGAGATCACATCTAAAGGCAAATGTGCAAACTCTGCTGTGATGGCCACAAATCTACTCTGAAGAAATAGCTAAATTATCAAAATCTGTAGTATTCAGAGAACAGAACAAATGTCAGGGTTGTCTTGTTCACTCGTCCAGCCGTTTGTATGTTACCCTCCGTGAGATTGCTTTAAGCTTGTATCCAGTTGATTTTTCTTTGGTGGGATGCTCACTTGTTATGAATGAAAGGCCTGCATTTTATTTTCCTGAGATTGAATTAGTTGAATATTTACTCGCCTCTTACACGCACACCGAGGTGGCTCGGTCCTACTTCATGATGTCTTTCAAAGAAATACGGATGTGCTGAGGGTTCAGCTGGGCTGGTTTAAAAACTAGTAGCCTTAGCTGTTGATCAGTGATAGTGTGTGGCCTTGTCTGTGTGGCTTGTTTTGGGGGTTTGTGTGGGTTTTTTTTTTTGTTGTTTTTTTGGTTTTTGTTTTTTTGTTTTGGCCCCTCTTTCAGCCCCTCATTTTTGCTCATTGTAATACTGGTGGGAAATATTGTCTTAAAGCTTTACTCATCTTTACTTAAAGCTTATCAACCACAACAATTTCATTGCCATCAACAAAAAGCAGGATACTGAAGATCAGCCACTGCTCTTCTTCAGTGTAATCCTTTGTAGATTTGTAGTACTGACTAATGAAAGAAATGGAAGCGATAGTCATATTTACAGAACCTTTAGTTTCTCCTTCAGCTGGACTGTTAGCATCTTCGGCCTAGTGCTCGCAGGTTGACCTGACAATGCAGTCACTCAATTTACTATGGATTAAATCTGCTTTAAGGGCACAGACGCAACTCTCTCTGTGGTGATTTTGGTGACTTAACAGTAGGGGATCAGGAACCATGCCTCCTGGTCTGTCCTAACAGTGCTGTATTCTGAGGCATTGACTCTCTTGCTGGTCGTGTCTCGCGCAAGTGAAGGCAGTAGGTGTGAGGTGATGTTTCAGGCTTCTGTGAATCCTGCAGGTGATGTGACAGACATGAAGCAGAACTCCTGTTGATGCAAATGTCTGTCACTAATGAACTGCTAATTTAATATTCTCATGTTAATCTAGGGGCTGGGTACCCTGACTGATGCTCATTCCAGTTATGTGGTGGGTGTGGGAGAGGTTGTGTGGTGGGCTTTTTTTGTTTTGCTTTCTTATTTATTGATGTTATTGCAGATGTTAATCTGCAAGTACAGCACTCTGAGATGGATCAGATGTTTACTGGGAATGTTTATCTTTAAAATGTTCATCAGCACCAGGCGCTCTCTCGCTTTCTTTTTTTCTCTCAAACATTCTCAACGTGAATGTATGTTTCGGCGCGGTACTGTTGGCTCCTCTGTTCACTCTGACTCTGTCAAATGCAGGGGCATTTCTAGCAACTTTGCTTTCACACATCCTGAGCACAAATGGGTGTCAACATTTTTTTTTTTCTTCTCTGAGCAACATGTTGTCCACAGGGTTTCACTACAATAGCAACACTTAGGGAACTGTAACTAACGGGTATCTGAATGGCCTGAAGCTGCTGAATGAAATCTTTGTTTTTCTTTTTTTTTTAATGAGCTGCTTTTTATAAACATTCAGAAAAAGCAAAACTTTTTTTTTTAAAACCACAATATAAGATCAGGAGTGCTTTGGTATAATGTCAGCAGACCAGGTTTTCTGTGCATCTGTAAAAAGTAGAGTGGGTTTGGAGAGCTTATTGAATCATTTTGTGCTCAGTTTCACATTGAGGTGATGCCTCCCAAACGTCTTCATCTGGAGGATGAGGGAACAGGTGCCACATCTCTGTTCAAGTGGACCTGAACAGCTTCAGGAAACATGAGATTCTCATCTGGAGTCTCACAGGGGCACCATAATGTGGGGGAAGAGAGGCACTGCAACTGTTTCAGAGGATGAGAGCTGTGTCAGAGTAGTTTCTTATTTTATTTTATTTTATTGTCTTTTCATATCTGTAGGTGAGTTGGAGTACTTGTCTATAGTTTCTGAGGTGTCAGGGGTGTTAATTTGCAATAAATAGTGTTTTCTGCTGTGTACAGTCTGTTTCTTTTTTTGTTTTCTTGTTACTGTTTTTGTGATTTCAAAGAGAACAATTATTTTAACATGTAAATCTTTTTTTTTTCTTAAGGGTTGTGTGTGTTGTGATCAGTAATGATGCAGGATTTATTCTTTAAATAAATGAATTCATCTGTAACTTGTTGTTTTTAGCTTTCAGTACAATCAGTGGAATCCATTAGTGGAATCTTGTGTTTGTCTGTTTTGGGACACAGTTCGTTTCGTCAGCTTACCAAGTGAAACATTTAACTGGTTTTTAAACAACGACCTCTCGACCCGCTTAAGCTTAAAACTAAATCTTGTTCAGGGAAACTCGCTGAACAGGGTCAAAAGAGGAAGTGGTTATTTTTAAGGCTCCACCACAGATCAGTAAACGGCAAGCTAGAAACAGGAAGTCATCTGACAGCAAGATTGTTCAGAAGTCTACAGAACACTGTTTATGCTCTTTATTTTTATAAAGTTAATTGATCTCCAAAAGTTGATTCTATTCATCTGGACGTAGCGTTTTGTAGGAGAAACGTTTCGTCACTCATCCAAGTGACTTCTTCAGTCTCAGCTGACTGCAGGTTAATTGGAGGTTTCCAAATTTGTTGTCAGTAAGTAGTTTATTAAAGACTAGTACAAAGGTAATATTTTACAGAAACAGTTTTAAAAAGTTGACAGACATTAAGATAAACTTGGCACCAAGCAAGTTCTGTACAAAACTGAACTCAGCACAATGCTTCACCTGAAATGGAGTAGTGCACTGAAGGTCAAAGGTGCCAGAATTTACATTTATACTTTATATTCAGGTACATAAACAGGTTTAAGCTTTAAGCAAGAGTTTAGAAAAATAGTTTTCTCATTTTAAGGAAGTTTTTCCAGAAACTTTCCCTCTAGTTCCTAAAGAAGTTTACAGTGATATTTACTGTAAAATGTGAAGATTATGTTTGAAGGTATTCAGAACTTGTAGCCCAGTCCAGATCTGCTAATGTGGCAGAACAGTGTCATGGCAAAACACATTCCCAAAACCTGTAAACAGAAATATAGAAATTAAACTGGAAAAGGACATAAAATGCAATGTTGTACTGTTTTTAAAAAGTTATTCTGAGCTTCTCAAGCTGACTGAAATTTCATTGGGTTTATGCTTGTTTATATGAAGTATTTTTTTATTCTTTTTGCAATCTAAAGAGTGGTCTTTTCTTCCCCGATCCATTCTAGAGCTGCGTTTTTGGGTGTGGCAGTGGACATTGTCCAGCTGGAGGCCCACTTTGGTAAGTGGGAGGGGAGCAGGTCTTGGTCTGCGGCAATCATAGACTGTATATGAAGGATGGCTGTAGCGGCTTTAACGTCACACATTATTTTGCCATTGCCAGATAGCGAATGTGACTGATATACAGGGATGCTGGACATTCATTGGTTAAAGACATGTAAACCACTTTTATAACTTTAGTGGGGACTAGTCTTAACAGTAAGATGTGAAACTGGCAAAGTATAAAGTCATCAAAAAATGTTTAGCATGAAGTGAACTGAAAGGTAATTTTTCTTACATTTCTGTACATCCTGACTTCTATTCCAAAGCAGGAGTTGGCCATTAGGACAGAAGAATGTAGGTTAAAAGTACTTGACCATTAGCTTTTTACTATTTTATTTTCAAGAGCTGCAAGCTACATTCATCTTTTATTTCCTTTTTTTCTCTTCACCCCCAACCAGTTTTACCAGATGGCTGTCTGCCACTGTCACTGGCTCTTCTGGAGACAGTGTTGGGAAGGTTAGTTTAAAAAAAATAATAATTTCACGTCATTATTCGGGCTGCAAGTAGATGTAACATGGGCTGCAAGATGGTTTCCACCAATGTGGAATTACCAAAAATAGAGAGGGCATAGCCTAACATATGAAACAGGAAAAGGCCGCTGTGTAATCCATTTATTTCAACAAAGTAACTGTATTCGGAATACCATGTATTCAGTTACTCCCGCACACTGTCTGGAGATCTCTTCCTGTCAAAAAGTTCTTTCTCCCCACCATTGCCTGGTACTTGCTCATAATGGGTTATTTGATCATCAGAGTTCTCTCCATCTAATATTGAAGGATCTTTATAGTATAAAACACACTGAGGCCATGGTTGTTAACTGCTATAAATGAAACCATTTTCAAAGGCAACAAAGTTTAGGTATATTTTAACAGGAAGATGCCACGTTTCTGAGCAGAACACTGTATTAACCAATTCATTCACTTTATAATCCAGTTGTCTTTTATACAGAAGTGAAGATGGTAATTTCTGAGACATAGTACATCTGCAGGTTCACAGGTTACCTTTGCAACACCTGCGTAAAATAGTATGTTAACAGCTTACCTCAATCATACAGAGGACAATGACAGAGACCCCAATGGTTAGGAAATTCTTCTCAAAAAAATTTGTCACCTTTGACAAACAACCCTGCACACAAAACATTTTGAAATTACCTGCAGCAGTAACAATGTGACCTTTGACCTCTATGGTACATTAAAGCAAGTATAAATCTGAAATGATCAGTGATTAGTATGAGCCTACCGTTTCCCAGTATTTATGATTTTTACAAGAGGGTTCCTCAGGAATACAGCAGGATTCTGGCACGTTGTTTCCCCAATCTGATACATTATTGATTCCACAGCACTCAAGCTAAAACAAATGAATTTGACAGACAAAAAAAATAAACAAATTTCTAAAGTCATTTGTGTCACAACATGACATCTCCACTCTGACATACTTACTTTATTTTGAATATAATCCCAGTCACTTTGTTTTGAATGTGTTGAATTTCCTTTTGCATCTTTCAAGCCGTTTGTCAGATCGGTCTTCACGCTTTCAGTAATCTGAACAGTCACGGAGGATTTGGTGATTACATACAATGTATACATTTGCTTTAAAAACAGAACATATTGTGTATAGCATATGTGTCACACACTTCTCCCTCGTATACAAGTAGCAGACATGCTGCTGTCAGTTCCAAGAGCATCATGAGGAAGAGCATCAGGAAAAACTGTAAAAAAATAAATAAAAAGGTTTATGTGAATGTTACTCTGAAACACTTTACATACACATATGAAACGGTACCGTATAGTGAAGTTATTTTTGGCTGCTAGTTCACAGCATGTAGCTCAACATGTCTGATTTCGAGAACTTTTTAAACTTGAATGCCCATAAATGCCCATCTTTGTGTTTCCTCCTGGGAATGAGCTGGGAATCTTTTGCTTGCTTCGCAAACATGCTTCTGACAGTCCCCTGCGCTACTTTTAAACTCACTGGAGAAACCTCCCAAACTGTGAAACAACAGTCTCCTCACAGTCAAAGCTGCTCCTTTATTGAGTCTTTTACAACTAGAAACTTATTTAAAAACTTGTTTCAAACCAAAACTTCTTTTTATTCATTGATTTTGATTCTGTCTGGTTTGCTTATTTTATCTCCTGTCACACATGACTGTATATGTTTAGTACCTACTAACATGTATTTTCTGCCTATTCTCTTATTAAGTCTTATCAGAGTTGTCTTTTGTACAGTAATTTCATCTTCACAAATTGGTTTTTAAATGTGCTTCATAAATAAAGTTGAATTGGAAAAACCACTATGGAGCTATTAATACTGATTAAACAAAGAGTCATTTCACTTTGTCACAACTTTTTTTCTTCGGGTTATATGACATTGAATTTTTTGTTTCCTAAGGTCACAGACCCCAATTACATCACTAAAAAAACCAAGTAACAAATGGAGGCTGAGTTAAGTCAACTTGGAAAAGATGAAGCTGCAGTTCCTCTAATGACTGTCCCAAAAACCAAGTCAGTGTCCACGGCCTCCCATGTTAAAATTCCCAGCGTTACAGCAGACAAAACAAATGTAACTGCTATGTTTTCTAATTTATTTGCATACTAGTAAGACTTAAAATTATGGACATTTTGACTGACAGGTGTGCCAACACAGGGAGCTGTAGCTGACTGGGTCAAGAGAGCACCTTGCTGCACCACTGGATCAATTGCTTTTTTACGGTTTGTTTGTTTGTTTTTATGGTACTGACACTTGGGAAGCTTCTTTCCAAAAGTGCGAGGGAATTTACAAAGTTAGTAATATATAGGATTCAGTCTCTTATGACTATGAATTTTGTAGCATGAAATCAATTATGACAAAAAGAAAAACAGAATAAAGTAAAATAAAAAACTGATATATAGAAATCAAAAATATATCAAGTATTTTTTTTATATATCAATAAAAAACAGAAGCTACTGTGACAGGGTTCTTCTACTCTGAATTAGAAGGAGAGGTGGAAGCTTTTCAAAGTATCATTAAATTTAAAAAAACAAAACAAAACCGTGTAGATACAACAAATGTATAAGCAAAGGTATTTCTGTATTCTGCAGAAAAACTAGTCCCGATTAACATCTAAATTACCTTTTTTCCCAGAGAACTGACTCTTTAGATATTTCCGTTTGTTACATAAATGCTATTTTTGTAGTATTCAAAAATTGGAGTACACAACAGTGAAGAGGCAGTGTTAGAGAGCCCCTTCCTCTTATCAAAATTATACAGGCATTAAAAAAACAAACAAATTATACCCTTTGTGGGTACCAAAACTACAGTGTTAATTACCTAAAAATATGAAGTAATCAGAGGGAGCAGAAAACCACATAATCTGTACTCTGCTTTGAGTATTTGTGTGTGTGTTACCGATAGGAGGAGACAGCGGTTCTCCTTGAGTGCGCCGAGAAATCCCAGGAAGGACACGCAGGTGATGATGATGCCGGTGATCAGGAGGATGTTGGCTATGTTGAAGCTGGCCAGTGAGGGGGTGAGAGCAGCATAATTTGAACCCACCATCATGATGACGCCAAAGACCAAAACCAACACACCGCAGATCTGACAGAAGAGAAGACAGACTGAAGCCAAGTCCACAATACACACTACACAGAGTACAGTGAGCTGCACCGGGCCCTGGTCTGCTTCAGAGCTTGCCTACAGGCAGCAGTGTCA